GCCTGTAGTGCTATGAACTTCCCTCTCAGAACTGCTTTTGCTGCATCCCACAGTTCTGTGTTGTTGTGTGTTCATTTTCATTGGTTTCCAGGAAGTTTTTAATTTCTTCCTTGATCTTCTCGATAACCCATTCATTGTTTAATAACATGCTATTTAGCCTCCATGTTTTCAAATGTCTTTGCATGTTCTTGTTGCAATTGATTTCTAGTTGCGGGTCATTTTGATCTGAGAAAATGCTTGATATAATTTCAATCTTCTTGCACTTGTAGAGATTTAGTTTGTGTTCTAACATGTGGTCTATCTTTGAGAATGTCCCATGTGCACTTGAGAAGAATGTGAATTCTGTAGTTTTGGGGTGTAATTCTCTGTAGATATCTATTAAATCCATTTGGTCTAGTTCTTCATTTAGAATCTCTGTTTCCTTGCTAGTTTTTTGTCTAGAAGATCTATCCAGTGATGTCAGCGGGGTGTTGAAGTTCTCTGCTATGATTGTATTGCTGTCGATTTCTCCTTGGAAGTCCTCCAGAAGATTTTTAATATATTTTGGTGCTCCTATATTGAGTGCTTATATGTTTCTCAAGGTTATATCTTCCTGTTGGATGAATCCTTTCAATATTATGTAGTGGCCTTCTTTGTCTCTAGTTATGGCCTTCATTTTAAAATCTATTTTATCAGATATGAGTATTGCTACCCCAGCTTTTTTTTTCTTTCCGTTTGCTTGGAAGATTTTTTTCCCATCCCTTCACTTTCAACCTATGTGAGTCTTTTGTTGTGAGGTGGGTCTCTTGGAAACAACATATAGATGAGTCATGCTTTCTTATCCAATCAGCTACTCTGTGTCTTTTTATTGGAGCATTCAGTCCATTTACATTTAAGGTGATTATTGATATGTACTTATTTATTGCCATTTTTGTTTAGTGTGGTTATATTTTTCTTCCTATTTCTTCTACTAATTACAGCAGTCCTTTTAACATTTCTTGCAGTGCTGGTTTGGTGCTAATGTATTCCCTTGGCCTTTTTTTTTTTTTTTTTTCCTCTGGGAAGCTCTTTATTTGACCTTCTATTTTGAATAATAGCCTTGCTGGATAGAGTAGTCTTGGATTCAGATCCTTGTTTTTCATGACCTTGATTACTTCATGCCACTCCCTTGTGGCCTGTAGTGTTTCTTTTGAGAAGTCAACTGTTTATGGGGGTTCCTTTGTAGGTAACCTGTTGCTTATCTCTTGCTGCTTTTAGGATTCTCTCTTTGTCTTTAATTTTTGGCATTTTAATTACTATGTGTCTTGATGTGGGCCTGTTTGGGTTCTTCTTACATGGGGCTCTCTGTGCTTCTTGAATTGAATGCCTTCTTCCTTCACCAAATTAGGGAAGTTTTCTGTCACTATTTCTTCAAATATATTCTCTAACCCTTGCTCATTTTCTTCTTCTTTAGGGACTCCTATGATGTGAATATTATTATGTTTCCAGTTGTCCCACAGTTCTCTTAAGCTGTCTTCCTGTTTTTTAGTTGTTTTTTCCTTTTGGTTTTCTGATTGGTTGATTTTTTTTCTACCCTGTCTTCTAATTCACTGATCCGGTCCTCAGCTTCCTCTACTCTGCTGTTTAGACCTTCCAATATGTTCTTTATTTCTGATATGTCATTCTTGATTTCTTCTTGGTGGTTTCTAATTTCCAATTAGTTGATTTTCCACATCTCTATGTCCTTACTCATGCTGTTGAGCTTCGTCAAGATCATGGCTGTCAATTCTAGCTCTGTTAACTTGTTTAACTGCTACACATTTATCTCATCTTCGGTAGAGGTCTCTTGTTCTTTCATTTGGCTTTTGTTTCTGTGTTTCACCATTTTGACTATCACAGTGGGCTTTGGAGCCTGCCAAATTTTCCCTGTGGGTGTTGGTGTTCTGCTGTTTGTGGCTCCCTCTCCTGGGTTTGGAAGAGTGAGAAAGGACCCACGTTAAACACCACTGTCAAGTCTTACTTTCCTGGTTAGAGTTGCTAGCCCAGGAATGGTACAGTTATTCTCTAGCTTTTTGCCTGGAGGCTAGCAGTAGCGGTTACTTGAAGAGCATTGGGTTCTCAGTGGAATGAAAAACTCCCTCAGGTGCTCAGCGTAAGGGGATTTCCTGAGGATGGGGCAGATGCTGGTTGTTAATGAGCCTCCATTTGCATTTTAATGGCCCACCTGGGTGGGGTTGAATCTCCGAGGGAGGGGCTACCGTCTCTCCCCAGGGCCCTGGGAAGGAGCAAGATGGCCACCGTCCTGCGTGGCTGCCACTCAGCAAAAGCTCTAAGCCCCCTCTAAATCCCAAGTGACCCCACACAGTTCCAGTCCAATCCACCCTCCCTCTGCCAGAGCTCAAGGTGAGTGGCTGTGGCTGTTTTAGCCTCTGTCCCGGCTCTGCGCTGTGGAGCCGCCTGGGAGTGTAACCCGAGGGCGCCGCTCCCAGCTAAGGCCGCTGCTGTCTGTGGGATCCCAGCCCCCCTCTCGCGCCTCCACCATCCTACCAGGATTGAGTCAGTGTCCCTGGTTATATGGGCCTCCAAGCTGCTTTTCTGTTGCTTTTTCCTGACAATTTGTCTTTATTTTAGTTGTAATTCCAGTTTTGTCCTGGGAGACTGTCTGTGTAGCTTCCATTCACTCCGCTGCCATTTTGAAATTCCTCCGACATTTTTGCATTTATCTTCAGATAGAGTGGGAGGGCGAGAGGAGGGAAGAGAGAGAGAGAAACATTGATGCAAAAGAGACACATTGACTGTTCGCCACCACACGACCCCAACCGGGGCTGGGGACAAACTGCAACCGAGGTACGTGCCCTTAACGGGAGCCGAACCCGGGACTCTCCAGTCTGTAGGCTTATGCTCTAACCACTTAGCAAACTGGCCAGGGCTATTTTTATTATTTTTAAAAATATGTTTTTATTGATTTCAGAAAGAAGAAGGGAGAAGGAGAGAGATAGAAACATCGATGAGAGAAACATTGATGTGAGAGACAGGAACATTGAAACATTGATCGGTTGCCTCCTGTATGTACCCCAACCAGGGACTAAACCTGCAGCCTGGGCACGTGCCCTGACTGGGAATTGAACCAGTGACCTCCTGGTGCATGGGATGACACTCAACCACTGAGCCACACCAGCCAAGGCAGCACCACTCTTTTTAAAAGCCCCAAACTGAAGACAAGCCAAAGTTCCATCAACAATAGCATGAAAAAATAAATTGGAGTGTAATTACACAATGAAACACAGAGCAATGAGAACCAGCGAAGTCCAATCACGAGCCCAATGTGGGTAACTACCCACACTGTGCTGAGCCAAAACAGGCAGACACCAAAGAGGGCACACCACTCACCCCGTTTAAATAAAGCACAGAAACGGAAACGGGACCTTAGGCGTTAGTAGTCCCCACACAGGGAACTGGGAGGGAACGGAAGTGAATTTCTGGGTTGATCATGTTTTGTTACATGTGGATTCATTTTGTGAAATTTCATCTTGCTGCCCTGGCCAGTTTGGCTCAGCGGTTAGAGCGCCGGCCTGCAGACCAGAAAGGCCTGGGTTCGGTTCCCGCTAAGGGTATGTACCTTGGTGGCAGTTTGTCCCCAGCCCCAGTTGGGGTTGTGTGGGTGGCAACAAGTCGATGTGTCTCTCTCACGTTGATGTCTCTCTCTCTCTCTCTTACTCCCTCTCTCCCTCCTGCTCTGTCTCAAAATAAATGCAAGTGTCCACAGGTGAGGATAAAAAACAAAAAAAATTTTCATCTTGCTGAGCACTTAGGATGCAGGCACTCGTTTATTGTGTATGCACTTCAATAAAGTCTACAAACAGAAACAGACTGCTCAGCTTCCCATCCTTCTCTTTCTCTAGGCACCCTCCCTCCCTGAGAACGAAGGCTCCCGGCACATCTGCACTGCTGTTCCTCACGCCCTCGGCGCTTGATGAGAGGTCATTCTGTGGATGAGGCGCCGGTGATGAAGAGCAGTTAAGCAGCCTGTGCAAAGTCGCGGCAGATAAGAGATTGAGCCATGAATCAGACCCATGACTGGACAGCCTGTGTCCTTCCAGTACAGCCCACTGCTTTGAACAGCTGAGTGCTTTCTACTGTGCTCAGTCTCTCTTCCTGATCTGCAGCCTGGCTGGGTATGTGGTCCTTTGCCAAGGATTTGGCTCCCTCCCTCCCCATCCCTCTGCTCCTCTCCTGAGCTCTAGGGCGGCAATGCTGAGCAGCTGCCACCACCGCCAAGCACCCTGGAGGGCAACATGTTGTTCCTTGATGACAAGCCTCAGGGAGCCACAGATAGTTACTGTCGCCACATGTGGGTGGGCCAGCATTCTGGAACTTGTCCTTGCCCTTGTGCCAGCCCCTCCTGGGAGCGGTCTGGGCAGTGTTTGGGGATCCGCCCAACCAGGGCTTACAGGAGCAAGGCTGGACTCAGACGCAGGACAAGCCCTCGGTGGTAACCTTCATTGCTTGGCCATATCTGAGTAGAGTAGGCTGCGCGTCAGCAGGGCCAGACCCCAGGATACTCTGGACCCCCCTGCCTGGCTGGCTCACAGAGGACATTCCTGACGTTTCTGGGGAGGTTCCTCCCACAGGTCCTGGCAGTGGTGTGAACGGCGTGCTCTCCGAGGGCAGCAATGCCTGGCATCCGTGGAGTGGAGGGAAGTGCCAGGTACTGAGCTAGGCAGGCATGGAGGGGCAGAGGCAGCGTTCCTGCCCACAAGTAGCTTACAACCTTGGTGAGATGGCACACTGAGCTGGGCACTGATCTCACGTGTGTGCGTTGTCTCACTGAGGCCTGAGAGGACCTCTTGGTGGTCAGTACCATTCGAATTCCCACTTTATGATGCGGGAATTTAGGCTGAGAGCTTATGCAACTGGCTGTGGTCGGCAGCCCCTGGTGGCCCAATCCCTCCCTTCTCCTCCTGTCCATTCAGTTGTGGGCTGGGCTTTCTGCCTCACTTCCGTGGATGGAAAGGGCAGGGGTAATGGAGTGTGACTTCTTTCTTTTTATGGAACGCTTCACAAATTTGTGTGTCATCCGTGCACAGTGGCCACGCTAATCTTCTCTCTGTTGTTCCAACGGCAGTGGAGGTGCTGCTGAAGGGAACGCAGAATGCCACTTCTGAGACATCCTGAGGTTGGGTTATACAATGGCAGTGGCTTCCTCTTGGCTGCCCTCTCACTGCCTCTCGGACCAATCACCCTGAGGAAAGCCAGCTGCCAGGTCTTGAAGAGAGGCAGACCCGTGGAGAGGGACCTGCAAGGGAGCTTGGAAGCAGCCCCTTCCCCAGTTGAGGCTTGAAGTGACAGCAGCTTCGGGCAAGCCTGAGCCAGAGCATCCTGTGAAGCTAGGCTGAGGCCCCTGGCCCACAGACACTGAGATGGCATTTGCTGCTTTAAGCAGCCACAGGCTGGGTGATTTGTTCACAGCGGAGTCTCAGATGTCAGGTGGATAACACACCTGCCCATGTTCACGCAGCCCACCTGGGTTAGAATGGAGTTTGAACCCAAATATGTCTGACTCTTAAGTCCATGCCCTTAACCTCTCTCTGTATTGTCTCCCCTCAATCGTAGGGAAACACATCGATGCTTCAACTGCACTGAGCCCACCGGGAACCAACGGTGAGGCTGAGTAACCTTGGGCAAGACTCTTAACATCCCGCACCCCAGTTTTCTTACATGTAATGTGGGGGTGATAAGAATGCTCAGTTCCTTAGGGTTCTTGTGAGGGTTCGAAGAGTTTATGCGTGTGAAGCTCTAGGACATAGTGAACGCTCAGGATGTGTTAACCATTATTGGTATTAGATCACTGATATATGCAAATATTAAATGAAATAATAGTTGGTCCAGACCAAGTGCTTCTGAAAAATCGGTGTTCTCATTTACAAAATGGAAGTAAAATGATCGTCATTCCTGGTTGCCAGGATTAGGTGAACTAGCACAGTGCCTGGAACATGTGAGAAGCTTAGTAATTGGCACCCACCATAGAACTACACCGACTGATGTTCTAAGGGTAGCACCTGGGAGGTGGGTGACCCGTCAGTGCTGTTACAGTCCAGCCCCTGTTGACCCCATGCGCCCGAGACACCTCACACTCCCCTGCTCTGGGTCTGGGAGCCAGTGGGGCAGGTTGAGGATGAGGGTAGAGAGTGTGTTGTTGGTGGGAAATCCAAGGGGCCTAACCTTCTCTCTGGCCCCTCGGAATGCAATCCCTCAGAGTACTGGCTGCCTTGGCTGCTAACAGGGTCCTCCACACTTCAATTAGAGGGTTATACAACCCCAAGGAAATTGGGTTCACGAAAATCTCCAGGTCCCTGGGGCTGAGAGGTTGAATGAGACCCAGTGCAAAGGACGCCACGGTTGATCATTCCAATTGGATCTCTCTTACCATCACCTGGTTTGCACTCAAAACGCGCTCCAAAAGAAATAAATAAGTAAACAGCACAAATTAAGATGGCCAAACCCTGCAGCCCTATGTGGGAATGTTTGCGAAAACGTGATGACCATTTTTGTGCAAAGATTTGGAGATCAGTGAAATATGTTTGTATAACTTCCTCTGCCAATTTCTTGTTGAGTTTTTTGGCATGTCGACGTCTCAGATGTCATAGAGGAGAAAACACAAAACACATAGCTCAAACATGATACTGGAACATACTTTTTAAAAAGTACAACTGCAGCTCTGGCTGGTTTGGCTGAGCAGTTAGAACGTCAGACCTCGGACCAAAGAGTCGCAGGTTGGATTCCAGTCAAGGGCATGTGACTCCGTTTCGGTTTGGTCCCGAGCCCTGGTCAGGGTCCTGCAGGAGGCAACCAATCAATGTGTCTCTCTCACATCAATGTTTCTCTCTCTCTCCCTCTCCCTCTCCTTCCCACTCTGTCTTACGGTAAATAGAAAAGTATCCTCGGGGAAGGATTTAAAATATATATATAAAAATAACAACTACAACTGCAGAGCTCCCCAAATGTCATCATTTCCACTGAGGTCCAACAACGTTGGCTGTGAACTCCAGAAGGGGAGAAGCTCGGGTTGTGCTCCTGGCGGGGGCAGATCGCTTCCCTGCTGTGAACTGTCTCATCCCCAAAGTGTCAGATTTGGACCTGATCATTGGTTTTCAAACTGGGTTTCCTGAAGCTCTTAGGGGTACCCTGGGAGGGCTCCCACCCCCGTATCTGTCAGAGGTGCTCCCCTTTTTTGGACTCACATTTTAGGCTTCAGATTCTCATATTTGGAGAATCTGGTTCTGATATTGTTGGTCGGTGTTCAAGAGGAGAGGATAGGGGATGACGATGGCAGTGAAGAGGCGTTGACTCGAGGGCGCCCCTGACGGCGAAGTGTCCGGCGCCGTCAGGAGCACCGTGAGGACAGTGAGGAGCCGCGGTCTATGATCTCTGAGAAGAGCACCAGGAGAGCATGATGCAGGGACACGCTGTCCTACCAGGCGGGGTGGACGAGCTGACCCCACAGCGGGAGGATTCCACAGCCTGTGAAATTCCTACGTGGGCTGAGCAATTCCTGGATGGGGAAAGGCCCTGCCGACCACAGGCCAAAGTCCATTCTCTGTGTTTCTTTCCTCTACCTGGGCTTACTCCTCCCAGCTTTCCAACCGGAGTTACACATTCAACAAATATCCACGAGAGCCTCCCAAGGGCCACACACGGTGCGCGAACGAGGCTGGACGCCGGCCACCTCAGAGCTGACATTCCACCGGCCACAGAGCCACAGGAGCAGCTGCAGGGGACAGGACCCAGGGAAGGCCTTCACCTCAGATGCACGCACAGGGTCACGCGCTTTGCCCCCTGGGTTGTCTCCTGTCTAGGTCAGCTTCCCTGCCTGTCCTCTAGTTCATGCTTCAGCCTCAGAAACGTCTGGCTGTGAAACACGGGCTCCGGGGTCTAACGCCCCCACCCCCACCCGCCTGAAATCCCCTCTTGGTGTTGGTGAGGCTGATGCCCTGCCCTAGTCACACTTGAGAAGCTGCCGGCTCCGGTGGGCTCCTGGACACCCTAGAAGCCATGACCTTCCACCTTTTGGGATCTTTGGGGGAAAGGATGGAAGGGCCAGAGGTGTGGCTAGCATGTGGCTGTGCTGGGACCAGGGCACTCAGAAGCTCGTCCAGGCAGATGGTTTCCCTCTCTCTGAGGGGTGGGGGCCTCGGGTCCTGGCTCCTCAAGAAGGCTCTGTGGTGCTGCGGGAAGGGCGTCTGGGGTTGGACCAGTTAGAACGATCATCTGCTCACTGTGTGACCGAAGCAAAATCACTTAACCTCTCTGAGACTCAGTTTCCTTATCTGAAGTGAAGACCTCTCTCCTCCCAGCCTGTGTCAGGGGCCTGATACACAGGCGCTGCTCAAGGAGGGGCAGTCCTTTCCCACGCTAAGTCCTCCCAGGGCTGGGCGGGGCTCTCCCAGAGTGGCCCGAGCTGAGTCTGCAGACCCCTTAGCTCAGCAGAGAGAGCCTCCTGCCTTCCCATGGGACCCCTGGGCTGCGCCAGGCAGCTCTCAGGTGGCATTCCCTCCCACCCGCCTCAGGCCGCTCAGCCCCTTTGTAGGGAGGGGGTCGGGCTGCCGGGCCAGGGTTCGTCCCCAGCCCCAGTATTTCTGTCTGCTTTTCACTAGCACACAGACACGGCCAGGTTGATTAGTGAGGGTTCCCTCAGGTGGATGGCAGCAGGTGGCAGAGCTTTGCAGACTGTGTTCTAGCTGGAACAATGACTGGTTGAAGAAGCCAAAGGGAAGGATGTGGGGGAAGGTTGCCCGCCAGGAGGGCCAACCGAGCTGGAGGAAGGCTAAGCTGATCTGCAAGCTTAGGGCATGGAGACTTCCCAGGGAGGCCTGAGGCCCCACACCAGCAGTTTGCCCAAAGCCTGCTCTGTGGTGTGCTCATTATCCCGCACATTGTGCCTCTGGCTGGGAATGGAGTCAATGCCCTGAACCCCACCCCGCCCTCAGCCCATGCCAGACCTCCCGAAGCCCAGGAAAAAGAAGCTGGCACCCGGTGCCAAGCAGGCCTGGGTGTAAGCACCACAGGGCATTGCCCATCTCCGCCTTGTCTGCGGGTCCATCCGCAGCTCCCAGCAGGGGTCTGGCCTCGCAGAGATGCTTGTCAGGACCTGCTGAGTGAATGACGGGAGGGGGCGCTCTAAGGCCGCGGCCAGGAGCATGGGCTCCACAACACGACCACCTGGTTTCAAACCCGGGCTCTGAACCTACCCGCTGCGTGTCCTGGGCAAGTTGCCAACCGGCCAGAGCCTCCTGCTCCGTCTCCGTGAGCAGTGATGGCGGCACCGGCACCTCCCGCAGTGAGGCCAGATGTGGACTGTTTGGTGGACGTGGCCACGGTGCTGAGTGCCCAGCACTCGCCTTGCTGTTGTGGAAGGCACTCGGGTGTGTGGTCTGGAGAGGCCATGGTGCGCGTGGCTGGGTGGGGGCGCGGGGGAGAGTGGATCAGCTCTCCGGGTGCCCGGAGGACTTCCTCCAAGAGGCTGGAGGCTGTGGTTTAACCTCACCGAGGAGGGAGGCCGAGGAAACTGTTGGGCCATCTGAGAAGATAGCATAAGGCTGGATGAGGGAAAGACCTTCCACCGAGGGGATGGACCGACAGGGTCGGCTGACCCACGGTGGGGATCGTCTCCTGGAAATGCCGGGGTCACGGCTTTGCTGCGCATCCTGGTTTTCTCTGTGGCTTCCTGCCTGGAAGCCGAGAAGTCTGTCACCATTCCTGTGGTGCCCCCCTCTGTAGACACGGGGCAGGGGAGACAGCGGAGGAACAGGAGGGCGTGATGTGAGGAAGCGGGGTGAAGCCGCGGTCCAGAGCCAGCCGTAGTGGGGGCAGGATGGACCCCCTTGGAGTGAACTCAGGCACCCAGCGGGGGCTCTGAGGTCATCCCAGCCATACCCCATGTTTGGAGCCAGGTGACCTCCCTCCCCAGCCCAGGTCAGTAGAGGAAACTGACCCCACATGAGACTTTAAGAGCCTCCCCGCCCCCGCGCAGCGTGAGTTACACGGGCATTAGCAGGGTCGCTGCGCCGGGAGAGCATGAGAGCCTCCGAGGCCCGCGGCCGCACAGCGAGGGCTCAGCGCAGGGCAGGTGGTCCCCGCAGCGCCCGGCAG